CCTTCTTGGGACTGCTGTGAGGGATAGTAGGGCCCTCTCGGGGCTATTTTGGGGGGTTAGGGGGCCCTCTCGGGGCTCAATTGGGGCCCTCTTGGTGGCACTGCAGTGCCTCTTCGGGCCATCTTGGAAGCGATCGATCAAAGGAGGGGGTGTCCTCGATTTGCCCCCCCCCCCCCTCGCCCCCCCCGAGGCCATCTACATCGCCTCTTTTGGCAGCGCTCTTGGGCCGATCTTGGGCGCTCTATGCGCCGTTTTTGGGGCCCTGTCGGCCCCTCTTGGACCTCTCTTGGGCCATCTTGAGGCCATGTCGAGGCCCCAAACAGCGCATCGGAAGCGAAACGGCGAGAAGGCAACCATCATGCTTTTCCGTATGGGTTTGAAGGTTGGGGGACTCGTCGGGGGTCTTGAGGGAGAAAGATGTACTCCCCGGCAGAAGGGTTCATTGTCCGGCAGAGGTGTTCAATTTCAGGAGGCTAGTTTCAACATTCGCAGCTGCGAAGCTAAGAATTGTTGTGTTGTGTTTCTTGGGTTTGCCGGGAGGCTTGGGCGTTCCGACAGGCATCTTGGGTTTTCCGACAGGCATCTTGGGCCTCCCGACTGGCCTCGTGGGCCCTCCCGACAGGCTTCTTAGGTCGTCCCGACAGGCACCTTGGGCCTCTCGACAGGCTTCTAGGGCCTTCCAACACGCCCATTCTGCCTCCTGACTGGCCTCTCGTGCCCTCCCGACAAGCCTATGGCCTTCCGGAAGGCTTCTTGGGCATTCCGACAAGCTTCTTGGGCTTGGCCTCCCGACAGGCAAAGTGGGCTTGTCGACAAGTTTGTTGGGCTTCTCGAGGGTTCTAAAGATGTGCGCTGATCCACGGAACGGGGGCGATGGTTGTGTCTCGCAGCATTGCAGCAGTCCAGCGGACAGACTGCGCTCCTTTAGGGGACGAGCGTTTGTCGCCAGAATGTGTGTCCATGTTCGTAAACGTGTGTATATATACACATTACCACCTACATCACACATAGTGTGCGATACGTCCATCAATCTACCTTCGTCCAAAAATTGGGTGCATCAGCTTACCAGGAGTCGATTCCAGTGAACTTGGTCTTCAGTGTGGTGATATAACCTGGCACGAGGCCACAGTATTTGGAACCGCAGAGCTTTGTCGAGAGACATAGTAAACTTACGATTGTCTATGAGGACCCATCAGGTGTGGTCAAAACCACGTCGTTCAATCTCATTATCCCTGGCATCAGCTCCTGGAGTCGAGCTCAGAACAGGTAAATAACACTGGGGGGGGCTCTCGGAGCCCTCTCGGCAGTACTCGTGGTATCAGCACGGCACATCAGATGCGCGGTTGCCAATGGTCGCACCAAGACAATTTCAAAGGGAATGCATTTTAACGTTTTACTCGAGTCAATATAAGAAACCAATTGGGCCCCTATTGGAAACCAGTCGCTTGGAATAGTTGCGTATCCGATAGGACCCCTTTATGAGTCCAACAGGATCCAATGAGTGAATCCAATATTAGGTTGCAATGCGATTCCTGAAGGGACCTACGCAATCGCAGTCCAAGGGGAATCCATTTGCTTGGGTTGCAAGAGGGACCAATCCAATAGCTCAGTGGGACTCGCATGACAAGAAAGCTTTGGATCCCAATGAGCTTACAATAGGATGCGGATAGGCATCCAACTGGAAGGGATCCGATTGGATGCCAACAAGATCCCAAGTCGGACCCCGTCAAGGGTGAATCAGGTTCCTGTTAGAGAGGATTGTTATGGCATTCCAATCGAAACGTCTTGGATACGATTCGGAAACCAATGTGATTTCAATTGGAAGGACTGCATTCAATTCCAATAGGGCCACTACTATGAGGATGACAGCATACAGAACCCCAGAAGGGTTCCATCCCGGGCAGGAGATGCTCCCAAATTTCGCTTGGTGACCTCAAGGGCTCGCATGGGCACTCTGAGCTCCAGAGTCCACTTTTGCTTCTGGCATGTAATGAGGGTGGATGCCGGGGGGATTGAGCCCGTCTGCAGGGGATTGAACCGTTCTGCCAGGGATTGAACCATTCTTCAGAGCCCCGAATCATCAGGGGTAACTCGGGTCAGGGCTAACTCGGGTTCGTTTTTCGGGAATCCGAACCCGAGTTACCCCGGACCCGAGTTACCCCGGATAATTCGGGCGTCCAGAGCCCCGAATCATCAGGGGTAACTCGGGTCAGGGGTAACTCGGGTTCCTTTTTCGGGAATCCAAACCCGAGTTACCCCGGACCCGAGTTACCCCGGATCACTCGGGCGCCTAAATTCTGCTGAGGATGGAGCCCTCCTGCCGGGGATGGAGCTCACCGCGCTTGAGGGGGGCTCCGCGCGCACTTGGCACCGTCGTGGGGCCGTCGTCGGGCCTCTTGGAGGAATGTCGGAAGCTATCTTGAACCATCGTCGGCTGTCTTGAGCCATCTCAGAGGCCATCTTTCGGGGGCGGCAAAGAGGGGGGTGATGACTAGGGGGGGGTGGATATCATGGCGGGGCCATGATATTCCCCAGATTTCCTGGCGCCTCTTCTTGTTTTATTACGTCCCTGGCCCCCCCGCTGGGCCGCGCACATGCCGCCGGTCATGATTTGCACCCCCCCCTCTTGGACACCCCCCTCTTTGCCGCTCCCGAATCTTGGAGCATCGGATGCCATCTTGGGAACATTTGGGGCGACAAATGACCCCCTAACCCATCGGGGCCCGCCCCCCCAAAGAACCTCAGGGATGGGGAGGGGGAGGGCACCCCTCCCCGAGGCGAAGAGGCTCTTGGAAGAGGAAGGAAAAAAACACGCTCGCTAGACCACCTTAGCCTCCGGAAGGGCTGGTGGGATTTCGTTGAATCTGCAAAACACGCGTAGAGTTGCTGTAGATCTACTAGCAACATGACAAACATCGGAGGCCTGGAAATGGGCACCAACACCAACACAGGGGGTTGCTTCCACAGGGGGAAGATGATCCTAGATTTCGGTGTTGGTGGTAATATTTCGGCCACCTTGGAAGCCAGAATCTTACCACCATCAGCGAGATCGGGATCTTCTTCCCTCCATGGAAGCACGCCGCCGATATTGGTGTTGGTGTCAACCTCTAGGCCTCCGAACACAAGTCAATGTCGGGGCACATCAGTTTTGTCGTCGATCTCCTGCTCGATGTGCTCGGTGCGCCCCTCCATGATCCCTCGTGCCTCCTCCTCCCCGCTCCACGCCCCAGGCCTCCCTCCGATGCCTCCTTGCGCCGGGCTCCCTCCTCCCCCTCCTTCTTCCTCGTCTTCTTCCCCGCTCCCTGCTCGCTCCCCCCCCCCGCTCGTTTTTCTCCCCCCCCCCCCCCCTCCTGCCTCGACTCCCTCCCGCCCCCGCTCCGCGTTCCCTCGTCTCGACTCACCCCCCTCGTCCTACCCACTCCCTCCTCCCTCCTTCCTCCTCTTAGTCGCCTGCGTTCGATGCTCGTTTCGGGGACCTTCCTGGGGCCCACCTCACGGATCCGTTCGACTCTCGTTTTATTCTAGTTCGTCTCCAGTTCGACTCAGTTTCGATTCAGGTTCTACTCAAGTTCGATTCAAATCGACGGACGTTCGACGCAATGTCGACGCACGAGTGGAGCGAGTGGCTCCAGGAAGGCCCCCAGAAAGAAAATCTGCCTACCGCCCTCCTTCGCGATCATCCTTCTCTCCCTCCAAAACTTCGCCCTGACATCCGCCGGTCTGATTCTGTCAATCCGCGGCCCCAGAGGTCCCGACCTCTTCCCCGGGGCCAGCTCATGTTTCGCCCAGGGTCATGTTCGACGACTACACAGGGTGTGGTTAATTACGCCGGAGTGTGGCTTGCGATCGGCGCCGTTGGGGCTTGGGAGGCACGACGCTGTCCTCGTCGGGCCCCTTCGGGGTGCGGTGGAGAGCTCTGTCGAGGTCCCCGTCCGCCCCCCAGGGTGCTGGTTGCAAGCCACACCCTTTGCAAACCACATCTTCCAGAGTAGCCGACATGTTTGGTGGCCACGGTTTCCGAGGACGTGCCCCGGAGGCCGAAATCGAGGAAGGCCACCTGGATTATTCTTTAGTGCGGCCGGTGCCGCCGATCATGAAAGGGGGATGGCGACGATCGACGACGACGACGACGACGACGACGACGACGACGACGACGACGACGACGACGACGACTGACGGCGGCGGCGGCGGCGGCGGTGGCGATGGCGACGACGACGCTGACCCTTTCTTGGAGCTCTCTTGAGAGCGTGTTGGGCTCTGTTGGGGCCGGGGCTGGGGTTGGGGCCAGAGTCGGGGACGGGGGCGGGGGGCCCTGGGCCGGGGCCGGGACCAGTGCTGGGGCCGGGGCCAGGACCTGGGCCAGGGCCCGGGCCGGGGCTGGAGCCAGAGCCAGGGCCGTGGCTGAGGGGGGGGAGGAGGAGTTCTGAGCTCCCTTGTCGACAGGGAGACCACCCTCCTCTCTGTCCCACTTCTCCACAGGGGGGACGCTCCAGGGTGGGGGAGGTCACGACCCCCGGGACCATCCCCTGGGACTCCTTTTGGGCACCCCCACCCAGCGGGGAAGGGACAAAGGGAAGGGGCTTCCCTTCGACGTCTAATCATGACACTGCTCGGTCCCACTTGTTGGTTTGATCCCCCTCACGGCAACGATTCAAAGGAGGCTGGCGTACTTCAGTTTGGGTTGGGCTGGCCTCGCCTCTTTTAAAACATCTCGTCGGGGATCTGAGCCTCTGTCCTCCCCATTCCCCGACGATGACGACGTCGACGACGACGACGATCACAACGACCACGACCACGACCACGACCACGACCACGACCACGACGACCACAACGACCACGACGATCACGACCACGACGTCGGCGTCGGCGACGGCGACGGCCACGATTACGACCACGACCGCGACCACGACCGCGACCACGACCAAGACGACGACGACCACGACCAAGACGACGACGACGACGACGACGACGACGACGACGACGACGACGACGACCCGGAGGCCATCATGAAGCCCGACGACACGATGTCGGCGGTAGTGGTGGTGTTGGGGAGCCTGTCGCAGGCGGTCCTCCGGCCCCCCGTGGAGCTCCCTGCGGGCGTTCTCGTGGCCGCTGGTTTCGTGGTCGTCGCCGTCGCGTGCACGGTGGGGAAGAGGGAGGGAGGGAGTGAGGGAGCCAGGGAGGAGGAGGAGGAGGAGGAGGAGGAGGAGGAGGAGGAGGAGGAGGACGAGGACGAGGAGGAGGAGGAGGAGGAGAGGAGGGCGAGGAGGAGGTGGAGGAGGAGGAAGATGAGAAGGAGGAAGTGGATGAGGAGGAGGAGGAGGAGGAGGAGGAGGAGGAGGAGGGGGAGGAGGAACGGGGAGGAGGACGGGGGAGGAGGAGGACTTGGCGCTTGTTTATTATCTGGAGTAATTATCCCCATCAATGTTTTTTTGGGGGTCCAGGTTCCGTCTGGGCCTTTCACCCTCCGCCATTGTTCGTCCCCTCCTCCTGCGTGTGTTTTTACTTTTGCGTGCAGGGAGGGTGCGGATCGCAGCATTTGCTCGCGCGACAGTCATAAGGCGCGCGCCCATCTTCTTCGGCGTCGTCCAGTCGCATTGCAAACGGTCCTCGTCCTTATCCGTAAGGGCTTTGCCCCATGCCGCCGGCCCCCTGTCTCCGATAATGGGAGATGCAAAAGCTAGATCATGAGGTCTGGGCGCCGCCGTGAAGCAGTGTCGGGACTTGTTTGTTTTTCGACCCTGACCCTACGGATCTGCATCACGGGTGCCACCGACTTTCAGAAATGTGGCACATCTTTTGTGTTTTTGGACCCTGACCCTACGGATCTGCGTGAGGGGTGCCGCCGAATTTCAGACACGTGGCAAATCCCCTATGTTTTTGGACCCTGACCCTGCCGATCTGCGTGAGGGGTGCCGCCGGATTGTCGAAATGTGGCAAATCCCTTATGTTTTTGTACCTTGACCCTGCCGATCTGCGTGAGGGGTGCCACCGAATTTGAGAAATGACAAATCCCCTTTGTTTTTGGACCCTGACCCTGCCGATCTGCGTGAGGGGTGCCACCGAATTTGAGAAATGTAACAAATCCTATATGTTTTTGCGCCCTGACCCCGCCGATCTGCGTGAGGTGTGCCACCGAATGTCAGAAATGTGGCAAATCCCCTATGTTTTTGGACCCCAACCCCGCCTATCTGCGTGAGGGGTGCCAACTTTTACCCACCCCAGCAACTCACAGCACACGCTCAGGGCGTGGTAAAAAGTCCGTTTTAGGGTTCCCCCCCTCGCGCGGTCCATCAACAAGGAACAGTAAGCAGCAAGCAGCAGAATTGTAACAGTGGAAACCGGAAGCTGCAACTGGCACAGGAAACTGCGAACCTTCGCCCTACAGCCTGGTGGCCCCACAAGGGGGCCGGCGGATTTTGTTTTCGAGTTTGCAGGACGCAAGCTCGAACCATTGACGGGAACCTGGCCGCATTCACAGGCCAGCCAATGCTCATGTCCTGCAAGGTTTTGGCCAGCAGCGGGGAGGTTTGGACCATGGGCTGTTCCGTACCCACACGTAGGGTATCAGGTGAAAAGCAAATTCTCGCGGCATCTCTTCGGCCAGATCGGCGAGGGCCCTGGGGATCCGAGATATCGGGGTGGCGGCCTTGGTTTTCTCATGGCGCACGGGCCAGTTGCGAGCCGACAGCCCTGGTCAGCCCACGCGGCGCCCCCTTGCCCCAGCGGGTGATCGACGAGATCAACGCGAGGGTGTCTGAGTCCAAGGAGCAGGCGCCCCGGGGAGGGCGAGTACGAGGACGAGTGTCAGGCCTCCCAGATGGAGTCCGGGTAGCTGGGGTCGAAGGATCGCGCTGCGTCGCCGATGCACTCCTCGGCGTGGAGCCTGACGCTCCAAACGCTGGCGTCGCCGACGCATCGCCGATTCATCGCAGATGCATCGGTGAGGCGGCGCAATCTTTCGACCTCATCTGCTCGGGCTCCATCTGAGAGGGCTGCAAGAGCGAGGGCGGTCGGCGGTGCCGCAACGGGTGCTCACCAGCGGGTGCCGTGGAGGCCCGCCGTGAGTGGACGCCTCGAGGGGGGCCTCCGTCGGGCCACTTCAGCTCTGCACGCACCGGGGAGCCACGCGGAAAACCCTGGAGGCTTCGTAATAGTTGTGCAACCTCCAGTCGGGGCGCTGAGGAAGGAACCCTTTTCGTTGGGGAGGGGCTCGGTGTTCCTTAGTTGTTTTGCAGTTCGCCTTTGGTTTTGCTTGGGGTTTCGATGGGAAATCGAAGTTTAACTTCTTGGAAAAAGGGGCCTCGTTCCTTATTTCGGGTTCCTTAGGTCAACGCCCCGACTGTAGTCCGCACATCCGTCCCGTCAGATCTGGAGCGGCGTATGCACGGCGATGTTTCGACGTAAGTCCGGCATGGATGTAGTGTGTCGGGGGTGGGCAGAACCCCAAACAGTGGCACGTCGATGAGTGAATCGTCCGTTTTCGGTTCTCGAGAGGGC